TTTATTTATTATAAACCTATTTAACTACTTATAGATAGTGATTCTGGGGCATAGTCAGCTTATAAACTATTTATAATGTTCTTCTTATATAAAGTCTTTCTTCTATATGATAGTTGAGCTTACTTCTATTTCGAGTGAGTGTTTGGTGATGAGATTCAAAGGTTGATTTCACCAGAAGACGATAGCTAATTTCTTTTGACAAGCTCTCATTTAACTTTAATGAAACCTTCCGAAGCATTCTTCGTCGGTTTCAATGAAAACGCTCTAAGCTTACTTCTGTTCCTTAACGAAAATTATCAAAGCAGGCTATAATCCTTTTATAATATGCGAGATATCAAGTCAAGAATACTCACATATCATATCTAAATATACTAAATTTACACTATGTCTAAGCTCTTTGATGAGGTACAAAGTGATTTTGTTAGTTCAACTCATATGTGCTTGTGATAAATAACTTGCTGCTAAGGCACAATATTTCGTCTTCTGCAAACGAAGACTTTTTTGATTATTACAGAATTAAACTGTAATGACAAATTAATGCTATCAGTGGATGGCTTATAATATGATGTGGTCCCTGGATTAATTAATCGAAAGATTTAGTGACAGAGATGTTAAAATGTAACTAAAATTTAATTACTTATTACTAAAAAGTAATATAAAGGCAGAATTATAATTTAAAACACTAAACATTTAATCTGACAAAAATTAGTTTATTTCGGCGTGATAGCAGCGGGCGCTCTGCTTTCTCCTGTATGCTTGCCCTTGTTTCTCGACGTTTTTCCCTACCATTGCTTATTTTACCTTCCAGATCATATGTAAAAAAAAAACCTGATTACACTGATCATCCGCAAAGATATAGGCCGTCAGTCCTTGTTAAAACCTTAAGGGGTTTTCAGTTTTCTGATGGTGACCCTATCTTCAAAGGGGACATTTTAGTAAGACAGGTAAGGCTTACTCAATTACTTTCCTCTTATAGTTAGGTCTAGAGTTTTATCCGGGTGAAAATGTATCACTTAACTCTGAAACTTGGGATATTGTTGCTAATTGTAATGGACGCTTTATGATAACAACGGAAGAGTTGTCACCCTACCCTGATAGTCCGTTATATGCTACTGTTAAATCTGGAAATGTTATTAAGAAGCATTTTGTTCACGTTATAGAAGAAGATTCAGCAACTCCATCATTCATAGCCGTTCGCGAACTCTAATATAGGTATATTTTCCCGTGTCCTGTACATAAGCTCTAAAATATAATATACTATAGGTTTTGTGTATTATCATCTTTAACTTCTATTTTCCCATATCATATTTTTAGACTTACTAAGACAAATTTGGGAAGTTCGTTCTTTACTATAAACTATACTTTGCTCCATTTATCTGTCTTCACATAATTACAGATTTTAAATGATTGATTTTTTCTTAAAATCTCGAAATTTTTTATTAAAATTAATATTGAGTCGCGACCAACTAATTATCGTCATTATGTCGTCTCACGGCGTAGAAAAGAATTCCTTACAACCAACCTTTCCTTCGAAATGGATGATGATGTAACAATGATTTATCTCGGTTGTGTGATCTTAAGTGATTCGCTTACTATTAAAGTTATGAAACAACTTTGTGACAGTTTTTATTCAATCGTCTTTTACTCGGAGACTTTTTCAACTATACTAAACATCGTCAATGAATACTATAAAAATGCCTCTACAATCTCGTCACCTTTTTAGACAAGCCTCGGCTGTAGCCTAGCATTTTGGGTCTGCCTAACGGGTATGAATCAGTGCGATTTGTTCCTGGGAAGTATATCATATTGTTTTAAAACATAGATTGAAAACTGAACGAATGTGCTCTTAAATATAAGACGATTGCAGGTGCCGGCTCCAACCAATTTTCGAAGTGAGCTTAACGCCGGTTGTAATAAAGGAGAGTTTAATGGTCAAAATGAATTGCCATTCTTTATATATCCTATAACAGATCAACTAAACTACTAAGTTTGGTAGTTGTATTAATATTTTAAGGCTTGTCCTTACATAGCTTACAGATGACAGGCATTGCAAAAGTTTTAGGTTGTAAGTACAATTTCTATTACTTGTTGGTCTTGGAATTAGGTCGTGCCTGTCGCACTTTAGGCAGATTTAGTTAATAAAAGAAATATTTTTTGGAATATAAAAAGTATGTATAAAATCATAAATA